ACATTTCTCACTTATAGCCTTTGTTATACTATAGTGATGTCAGGTGTTTAGGTGTCTGTCACCTCCTTCATACCATGAGCTCCTTGAGGGCAGAAACAGTTTCCATCTTTGTCACTTCCATGCTTAATATAGTGCTAACTAGCCTATAATCATCTTTCCCTTAAGGTGCTGATGGATGAAGAAAAGGAAGGAAGGAAAGGAGGGAGGAAGACTTCCTAACTTTTATAATGTTTTGGCTTAACCTACCTCCAAAGCTCCCTCTCCCACCACTTTCTGCAAAGATCCATGCCTAACCAAACCATTTGATCAGAGCCTATCCTTGTTCACCTGGCTCAACGGCTGTGGGGCTGTTTATTTATGGTTACGTGACAGGGCTGGTTGCTACAAGCCCCAAAGAAACAGAAGTTGAAGCATCTGTCTTTGGAATAGCTGAGGACTAGCAAAGACCTGACTTTACCTTGGGAAGAGCATTGATCCGTTTGCAGACTATGGCTACAGTACAATTTGTCCAGTGTCTGACATCTATTGAATGGATGAATGAATGAAGTATAGCTGGATGAAAAGGCAACACAAGTCAGCCATAGTGATTAATTCCTTGATCAACAGTGATGTCTCACCTCTCCTCATTGGGGAAACAGCTCTGGATTACAGTGTTTGTAAACAACTTTCATGCTTCTAGGCTTCAGACAAGGCTACTTTATTTATTTTTCCTGAAAACTAACTTTATTCTAAAGTTAGTTAGGATCTTGATAGAATCTGGGGATTTCCCCTCTGGGAAGTCTGATTGAGTGGTCAGGGGTAGGGCCCAGGATTCTGTAGGGTTTAATCAGACCCTCAGGGCAATCCATTATGGGTAGTCCCCAGATCACAATGTGAAAAATACTGGTGAAAAGAAATTGATTATTTCCAGTTCTCTTTCCCTCAAATATAGACCTGTCCTGTTTTCAAATATTTTCCACCACAAAACTATGGCACCATTGACTTTTAGGACCATCCCCTTGTCCTCCTAACCTTTGGTGTCAATCAGATGGAGTCCTAGAAAAGTGGTTACTATGGGTATGGGTACTAGTTACATGGTAGGTAGAATTATCATTTATTGAACAGCTGCTATCTGCCAGGCACTATGTGAAATGCTTTACAAATGCTATTTCATGTCATATGACAACTTTTCACAGTAGGTGGTAGTATACTTATTTTACAGATGGGGAAAAACCCTCATAGAGGTTATAAAACTTGTCCAAAGTCACAGTAACATATATAGCCAACTTGAGATTCAAACTCAAATCAAAGCCATTGGTTTTTCAAATATATAACCCCCTTTATTATTGTGTAATTATTAATAACCAAGATATTAATATATTAATATAACTATTATTTCTATGAGGCCATACCCTAAAGAAATATCTTGGTCAGCTCTGACTCCGGGACATAGGGCCTTTAAGGAATCAGTAATCCAGTCACTCATTCATTTAACCACATCTAACTGAGCAACTATTGTGCACCAGAATCTGTGCCAAGCATAAGGGACACAAAGGTGAACTAGTCTCTAGCATTATGGAACTCATATGGATCCAGACAAGTACACAAGCAATTTATAAAACAGTGCTAAGTGCTATAATATAATTCCCCAAATTAATCTAAAAATTTGATATATCCTTCAAGAAAACCACAAACAGGACTATTTCTGGAATGGACACGCTGACTTTAAAGTTCACTTGGAAAAATAAAAGTGTAAAAAGAGCCAGGAAATTCTAGAAAAAGAGTAGTAGTGAGGGAGAAGTAGGCTTACCAGTCATTAAAAGAAAGTTACAACAATGAGGACAATTTGGTAACAGCATATGAATAGCTGGACTCATGAAATCGAATAGAGGATCCAGAAACAAACTCAGATACAAATAGGAATACACTACATAATAAAGGGATATTTCACACCAGAATAAGATTACTCTGTAAAGCGTTGAGGCAAATGTGTAGCCAACTGGAAAGATAATATGCAAAAATAAATTCCAAATGGATCAAAATTTCAAATATAAATATTTAATATAAAATTATAAAGGAGGGGCACCTGGGTGGCTCAGTCGTTGGGCGTCTGCCTTCGGCTCAGGTCACGGTCCCCGGGTCCTGGGATCGAGCCCCACATGGGGCTCCCTGCTCCGCGGGAAGCCTGCTTCTCCCTCTCCCTCTCCCCCTGCTTGTGTTCCCTCTCTCGCTGTGTCTCTCTCTGTCAAATAAATAAATAAAATCTTTAAAATAAAATAAAATTATAAAGGACACATGAGATAAAAGAACTCTGATGAGGGTATAAGGATGGGGGGTGACTTTCTAACTGCATTGCCTTTTGTATCTTTTAAAACATATTTACAATGTTTAACCTATTTAAAAAATGTTAAGAGAGTTTGGCCAGCGAAATAGAAGTTTGCCTGCTCTAGGACGGATAGGGAGTCTTATGAGGCTGGAGAGGTAAGAAGGATCAGGTCATGAAGGGCCTAGATATGTTAAAAATGTGGTCTTTATAGTATGAATAATGGAGAATTATTAAGGGTTTTAGAACATGGGGATTGATATATCAGATTTGCATTTTAGAGAGATCACTCTTAGCTATAAAGGAGTGCATAGATGGGTAGGGGATACAACTGAAAGTGAGGGAATGAGACTTCCCAGAGGACAGATGATGGGGCCTGAACCAGGCTGGTGGTGAATGGTGATAGAGAGGTGGATAGGTGTGAGGGATGTTTAGCAGCAAGGATCTTGTTGACTGATTGGATGTTGGAGGTGAGGGAGAGGTCTTGGATGATGTCAAGATGGAGAAGCGCTGGGCGCCTGGGTGGCTCAGTTGGTTCAGCGACTGCCTTCGGCTCAGGTCATGATCCCGGAGTCCCGGGATCGAGTCCCACATCGGGCTCCCCGCTCAGCGGGAAGTCTGCTTCCCCCTCTGACCCTCCCCCCTCTCATGGTCTCTCTCTCTCTCATTCTCTCTCTCAAATAAATAAAAATAAAATCTTAAAAAAAAAAAAAAGTTGGAGAAGCGCTGGTAACGGACAAAAGAGCCAGATTGTGGGAATAAGGATAGGTTAGACAATGAGTTCAGTTTCCGTGCCTCCCAGATGTCCAGCTGGAAACGTCTAATAGGCAGGCTCAAAACCCTGGAGCTTGAGAGAGAAATACGACTGGAGATAACGAATTTGGGATCCATCAGTATATAGATGGAACTGAAGCCCTGTGAGTAAATGAGATCACCCAGGGAGAGCATTTAGTGTGAAAAGACCCAAGACAGAACCTAGAGCAAGATGAAGAGGCAAAATGAGGTAGAAACAAGATGTTCCCTGAGAAGGGGCTAGAGAATAAAACAATAATCTGGAGAGTGGTGCAGAGAAGTCACATGTAAAGTGTTTCGAAGAGGGGAGTATGGTCCTCAATACCTTTAAAGGCTAGGGGAGGTCAAATGAGGATGTGATGTGACTTTTGATTTAAGTATGGGGGGGATTGCTGAAGATTATGGGGGAAAAATAGCTGAGTGGAGGATTGAGGTTAAGCAGAAGACGAAGGGGAGGCATCTTGTCTCCTGAGAGGAGACAGCCCATTTAGAGTCTGGTTAAGACAGAGTGGAGCAGCTGGGGGAAAGACATGGTTATTTTCCCGTGCTTTTTTTTTTTTTTTTTTTTTTTTTATTTTTTTTTTTATTTTTTCAGAGAGAGAGAGACTGTGAGAGGGAACAAAAGCAGGGCGAGCCTTTTTTTATATTTACACAAAAGAGAAAGTTTTATTGTAGGGGTTGGTTTTTTTTTTTTTTTTTTTTTTTTAAAGGGTCAGTTGAACGCATCTAAAATGCTGAAGTGGGTGGCTCAGCGAGTTGAGCATCCCACTCTTGGTTTCAGCTCAGGTCTCAGAGTCCTGAGATCGAGCCCTACGGTGGGCAGTGCAGGGTCTACTTGTCCCTCTCCTTCTGCTCCTCCCCCTGCTCGAATTCACTCTCTAGCTCTAAAAAATAAATAAAATCTTATTTTTTAAAAAATATTTTATTCATCTGAGAGAGAGAGAGAGAGGGCACAAGCGGGGGAAGAGGCAGAGGGAGAGGAAGCAGACCCACCCCCGCCGAGCTGAGAGCCTGACGTGGGGCTCGATCCAGGACCTGGAGATCAATGACCTGAGCCCAAGGCAGACGCTCAACCATCTGAGCTACCCAGGTGCCCCCAAATAAATAAAATCTTAAAAAAAAAATGCTGATGACAAAGTGCCAATACTGAGGGCGCTACAGGATAGAGGAAGGTATCTGTAATACCAGATATGAGGGGTCGGATGCAAAGCTGATGAACCGTGAGGACTTAGACGGGAAGGACACCTCTTCCGGCATAAATGAAGGGAAAGGAAATGGAGAAACAGGCAGATTCTAAAGGTCTGGTGCAGGAGGGAGCGCCTGGCGGTCTCAGTGGGTAGAGCAGGCTCTTGATCTCAGGGTCGTGAGTTCGAGCCCCACCTTTTGGGTAGAGAGCCTTATGTGGGTGGGCCTCATCCAATAAAAAAATAATAAAGGTTTGGTGCAGGGAAGCCGATGGAATTTCGGCGGGATGCTTTCTACTTCCCTCGATAAACTAGGCCTAGATTAAGAGTTGACCTTGCGTGGAGGCTGGAAAGGAGTGCGGCTTTGAAAAGCTTTTCTTAAAAGGCCGTGAGAGGGGTGTGCGGGGTGGAGGCGAATTGGCACTGGAGCGGGGCGGGGAGAAGCCGGGTGGAGCCCGTGCGGGGCGGGGTGAACGTCGTGGCGCGCTGCCATGGCCGGCGGGGCCCCCCCCGGCCGACCGTAAGACGACCGAGCAGCGCCGTCTCAACACAGCGTTCCCGAAACCGGGTGAGGTGCCAACAGACGTGTTCAAAACCGGACCGCAGGCGCCGCGAGACCTGGGCCCCAAGCCGTGAGACTGCTCGTGACGCTAACCCCGCACGGCGCGACAGTGTACTAAACGTCATCGTCCCGCGACGCTGACGCAGTAATAGGGCGCCCTCCCGGAAGTGGGCTCTAGATCGGGCAGTAAAAGTGGCAGGCAGGTAGCAGCTGAACTATTTTTCTGCGTTTCCTCTCGATCCCTCCCGAGTCTTCCAGGTCCGCGCCGAAAGGAAAATTCTCAGCTGTCATGGGGGGCGGAGATCTGGTAAGTGAGGGAGGCCTGGGCGGGGGAGGACGGAGCCGGAGACCGACCCCGGCTGTGGACGGAAATTGGAAGGTGTGGGAGTGGGTGACCATGGCTACACAGCCGTGCTTTCGCAAGAAGGGAGCGTAGTCTCGGAAAGGGGACCGATCTCTGGGGCTACGGAGGAACCAGGCAGAGACCTGGGAAGGTGTGCGAAGTGTGTCGCCAGCTGTGGCGGCTGGTGTTTGTGTGTTTGTTGTTGGGGACCTTCCCCGCTGGAAATTCTGGGAAGGTCCGGGAGGGGGTGGTGGTGGTGGAACCATGCCTATGAAAGGAGGCAGATACCAAGTCACGCAGGCTTGATTTTGTATATCTTGTCTTGGGACACTTCTCTCTTCCTCAGCTGGGAGTTCAGTCATGTTTTGGGCTGTAATAGGAGTGGTCGGGCCCCATTCTCTTCGCCCCTGAGCCATATCTGTTTTAAACCTGAAATTATCTTCTTCACGTCCACCTTTCTGACTTCCACTCCTCCTTCAATGCTGCATTCTGATCTGTAGTGACAGCTTTCTTCTGCGTTTATGGCACTTAGTATAAGTTATGTGGCAATTTCTCTTAAACTGTATAGTTCATTTGTAGTGTGCTGAGCTCCTGATAGGGCAGAGGACCCACAAGAGCATGGTACAAGATCAGAAAGATGCTAACCTCTTTAAAGTGTAGTTGATTGAATCAGCAAATAGTTGGGTTTTGCCACCTGTCCAGTATCTGTATTAGAGTTTGTCAGGTGTTGTTGATTAGAATGCTTTCCAGGACTCTAAGATTTAGTGTAGTCTTTTTAAAAAATATTTATTTATGAGAGAGTGAGTATGCGAGCCAGGGGTGAGGGCAAAGGGAGAGGGAGAAGCAGACTCACCACTGAGCAGGGAGCCTGATGACTCCATCCCAGGACTCTGAGATCAGGACGTGAGCCAAAGGCAGACGCTTAACCCACTGAGCCACCCAGGCGCCCCAGTTTAGCATGTCCTTCAAGTAACTGCATTTAGGGGCAGGAAAACTCTAATTCAGGGTTTCTCAGCCTTAGTGCTGTTGACATTTTGGGTTGGATAATTCTTTGTTTTGCTTTTTGTGTGTGTGGGGGGGTGGGGGGGTCCTATGCATTGTAGGATGTTGAGCAGCATCCTTGGCCTCTATCCACTGGATACCAGTAGCACTCTTCTCCTCCAGTTGGGACAACCAAAAATGTCTCTGGGCATTGCCAAATGTTCCCTGGGGGGCAGAAACACCCATGTTGAAGGAAGGGAAGAAAGACCAGTAGAACAAGGCTGGGGATGGGTGGGGGTGGGGTAGGGGACTGAGCAGCCTGATGAAGGGAAAAGGACAAGGCAGAAAAGAGAAAAGAAAGAAAAGAGAGCCCTCATTGACTGAATACCTTCTACACGCCAGGTACCTCTTGTAGGTTTTCTCATTTGGGCTTCTTAACTGGTCTCCTGGTCCTCAATCTCTGCCATCTCCAGCGCATTCTAAACATGATAGCTAGTCATGCCTGTCACCTGCATATGACTGTTTAGTGTTTCCTACTGTCCACAGGATAAAGCCCACCCCCTTAACACGGTTTATAAGGCACTTACTCTGTTCCTTTCTTAGTTGGCTTGTTTGGCTTCATCTTAGACCCCCCCTCCTCATCAGCTCGCATGCCTTCTTTAGCCCCACGGAATCTCTTGTGCTATGTTCTTTCTCACCACTGGACCTGCAGTTGTGTGTGCTGTTCCCTCTGGAAATCTACCCCTGCTCCTCCCTGCTTCCTACATCACTGGGCTAAATTGTAATTGTCATTAGATGTCACTTCTTCCAGGAAACCTTCCCTGGTTGATAGCTGAACCAAAGCAGTGGCTGATGGGGAGGAGGGAGACGAGAAGCATTCTTGAGGTGCTTTAGGGTGCAGCATGAAGGGGAGATCAGAACCGAGGGGAGATTCCCAAGAAGGAAGGTTGAAAGAGGTACTTGGTGGGGTTATAAACCACATAAGGTTAAGGTAGGTTAACTGGACTCAAGGAGAAGATTGTGTTCATAAAAATGAATGTCCCCTGCCAAACGCACTAGAGTTCTGTTGCCTTTCAGAGTTTACCTTCCCACCTCTCTGCCCATTCCCCCTTTCCTGTCACCACCATACTTTAGTTCAGGCATGGCCAATGGAAGTCTGATTCATAAACATTTCAGGCTAACAGTGTTCAAAGAGAATCCAGAAAAGGCCTGTTCTATGCTGAAGCTTTACATACTTGAACAAAACCCCCAGATGTGTGAGAGATTATTGGGTGCCAACCTCACTATTGTGAAGAACGTCTTGCCCTTAGATGTCTGCTTGGGACTGAACAGGGAATGGGGGGGCCCATACCCACCCACCCACCCCCTGTGTTTATTCCCTTCTTTCATTCACCACAGAATCTGAAGAAGAGCTGGCACCCACAGACCCTCCGCAATGTGGAGAAGGTGTGGAAGGCTGAGCAGAAGCATGAGGCTGAGCGGAAGAAGATCGAGGAGCTGCAGCGGGAGCTGCGGGAGGAGAGGGCCCGGGAAGAGATGCAGCGCTACGCCGAGGATGTTGGGGCTGTCAAGTGAGTGAGAGGCTGAGGCCGCGGTGGGCCAGCGGGGCTGGGGCTGTCCCGGTGGCATGGGGCACCGCGGGGCTGGCCTGCAGCTGCATCATCCACTTGTCATAGAACTGCTGGCTACGAGCATGGGTTTTGGAGTCAGTCCGGCCTGGGCTCTCAGGCTGGCTTTGTGTGTAACAGCCTAACTGTGTCACTGGGGGCAAGTGTGGGGGCCTCAGTTACCTCAGTAGAACCAGGGGAATGAGAGTACCCAAGTCCCAAGGTTTGTGGAGGATCAGATGAGATAGCGTGTAAAGGGCTTAGTGTAGGCCTCGTGCATGGTTGGTGATTAATAAGCCACCTCCCCACCTCTCAGAGTGTGTCCGGGCCTCAGTCCTGCTTTTGTTTATGTACTGCAGACTCATGTTAAGGGGGCAGTGAGGTCTCATGGAAGCAGGTGGGTGGTGTCTGTCAGTAAAAGTTGTGTGACTGTGGACAGTCCCACTCCGTTTCACCGTACTTCAGTTTCCTCATGTATGAAATAGGATAGGAGCAGCAGATGATCTAGTTAACCTGTCCATCTCATAAAATGAGGTGGGAGCATATGTATTCTGAGAAAAACAAAAAGCATAAAATGTGCATCGCATTCTTAAGTTTAGTGAAAACAACATATAGACTAAAATCGGAGTAATCTGTACTGTCATTCTCCTTGTTCATGTCTCTGGGGTGGTGGTGGCATACTCTCCCCATTGAGTATCTAGGGCTTTTCTTTAATACGTCATGACAAGAAGATCTGTGACATTCAGGATGGTGTGTGTATGTGAAACATACACATGGAAATGGCATTATGGAACGTAGGCATGGTGACAGTCACATTCTTTCAGGATACTAGATTGGGGAGAAGGCCATTCTGACTCAAGTGTGAAACTTGGAATGTTTTAAAATAGAGTTTTTTAGAATTTTTAAATAGAACAAAATATAGTTATGACATTAATACAGCAAATGAGATAAGGGAATGAAATTTTATGTTTTTTAGTACCATAGACATATGTTAAATTATTTTACTTTATACGCTTTATGTAAATTATGTACTTTACATTTTTAAAAATGTGTTGTTGTTATTTTTTTTTAAGTAAACTCTGTCCCCGGGCGCCTGGGTGGCTCAGTTGGTTAAGTGACTGCCTTCGGCTCAGGTCATGATCCTGGAGTCCCTAGATCGAGTCCCACATCGGGCTCCCTGCTCAGCAGGGAGTCTGCTTCTCCCTCTGACCCTCCCCCCTCTCATGTGCTCTCTCTCTCATTCTCTCTCTCTCTCAAATAAATAAATAAAATCTTAAAAAAAAAAAAAGTAAACTCTGTCCCCAATGTGGGGCTCAAACTCACAACTCTGAAATCAGGAATTGCATGCTCTAGCCAGGTGCCTACATTATAATTTAGTGTCAATAAATTTCACACATTCAGATTAATTCCTGGGCAGTTTATAAGGTGAACACACATTGTTCTATGTGAAACTAGATTTTGTGAACCCTTGATTTTAAAACAGATACCAATTTTAGGTTCAGTACTTATTAGTCATAAGATTTTGCTTTTCCACTAACCAAAAGTAAAAAATTATTTTTGAAAAAAAAATTGTTTTTAAGATTTTTTTTAAAGTTTATTTATTTGACAGATAGAGACAGCGAGAGAGAGAACACAAGCAGGGGGAGTGGGAGAGGGAGAAGCTTCCTGCGGAGCAGGGAGCCCGATGCAGGGCTCGATCCCGGGATGCTGGGATCCTGACCTGAGCCGAAGGCAGACGCTTAATGACTGGGCCACCAGGCGCCTGAAAAAAAATTTTTTTTAAGATTTTATTTTAAAGTAATCTCTACACCCAACGTGGGGCTCAAACTCACAATCCCAAGATCAAGAGTCACATGCTTTTCTGACTGAACCAGCCAGGCACCCCTTGAAATTCTTATTCAGCAAAGCATTACACATCATATTCCTGTTGTATCAGAAATCTGGGCTTTGCAGAGTCTAGTTAATGAGGTGGGAGTATAGATGAACAGCTTCAGAGCAAGGAGTTAAACGTTTATCCTTTGCTGACTCTCATGCCTGCTTACCTCTTGTGAGTAGGAGGAAGTTGATTTTATATTCTTGATTTTTTTTTTTTGCCCCCTCACGTATCCTCGAGCATTACAAAACACAAAGGTCAGCATGTATGTCCTTTTTTTGGTCTTTACTTGCAGGTGTATTTAATCATCTGCTTGTCCATCTCACTGCTTTGTATAGCTCTTTGCACAGTGACATGCTTTTAATTTATCCTATAAAATGCCAGTAGAATCCTTTTACCCTGTAATGATTCACTTCCATGGGTCAGATAATCTTTTCTATATTTATAATGCATCTCTCAGAACAAATAGAAAACTTAATACACGTATTATCCTGGATGTCCAAATCCCTCTTTGCAATAGAGTGTTGCTTTAGTATTTACTGATAATGCTAGAAAATTGTGTGCTCTAGATGGTCATCTATACCAGTGTTTCTCAGCCTTTGCACTTTAGAGTATTCTAGGAAGATTAAAGATAGGAGTGGTTCCCTAAGAATAGCAGGGGGTATGTAGGGCAAGGGCATCTGTATCTTTTAAGAGCTCTTGGTGATCCTAACGGGCAGCTTGATTGAGAACTTGGTTTATATCTTTAATGATAGCAACAACAAAAAATCTATAGAGCATCTTGCCTTTTTTTTTTTAAGATTTTATTTATTTATTTTAGAGAGAGAGACAGCATGATTGGGAGGGGCAGAGGGAGAGAGAGAGACTCTCAAGCAGATTGCACGCTGAGCATGGAGCCCAACGTGGGGCTTGGTCCCAGGACCCAGAGATCATGACCTGAGCCGAAACCAAGAGTCAGTCACTCAACCATCTGAGCCACCCAGACACCCCAAGATTATTTTGATTTTACATGGCTTTTCCCCCAAGTATCTTCTCATCTAAGACCTCAGAGTTAACAGTGAGAGATGGTGGTTACTAGCTCTATTTTAGACACGGGGATATGGAAGTAACTTGCATGCACAGAAGTAACTATGCAACTGGGTAGTGGTGGAACCAGGCCAAGCCCTGGATCTTGGCAATTCAGTGTGTTCTCTTACTAGAGGGCCTGACTGAGTAGGACTGATACTTGTCGAGTCCCTTCAAGACTCAACAGAGCCATGAAAATACTACTGTATAGAAGTATCTGCTGTTGTTTTTTGTTTTTGGTTGTTTGTTTGTAAGATTTTATTAATTAATTAATTTATTTATTTATTTGAGGGAGAGGGAGAGAGAGCGTGTGCACGAGTGAAGGGAGGGGCAGAAGGAGAGAATCTCAAGCCGACTCCAGTGCGGAGCCTGACATGGGGCTCGATCCCCTGGCCCTGAGATCAGGACCTGAGCCAAAATCAAGAGTCAGATGTTCAACCTGCTGAGCCACCCAGGCGCCCCTGTCTTCATTTTTTATATCCTTTCTTCTATATTTGACCCAGTTGCCCTACCCCAGAGACATTTTTGCTTCTTGGCCTACAGGCTGCTCGTCCTCCTACCTCTTCCTATATCATGTCTTCTCTTTCCTTCACTTACTCAGCTTCTCCCTCATCTCCTAGCTGCTCTTCTCCCTTTATTCTCTCTCTGTCAGATTTACTTCATTCCTGCAGTGCCGCTTGTCACCTTCATGCTGAGGACTCCCTGAGTCCCCTCAGCACACGCTTAGTGCTCGTCAGCACCGCTTGGTAATGTGTGGACCTCTGTGCCTCATCCAGTAGCTTATGAGCGACCTGGCTGCCTGAATCTTTTTCATCCTCTGGCCTTCCTCATCTGTCTGGCTCTAGGAAGTAACAGAGTAAATGTTTACAAATGGATAAATGAATCTTTTTTCTCAGCTTCCCCATCCCTGTTAGTGGCCGGCATGCATAGGCATGATCCCTCCAGTCGTCTTTGATATGTCCTTTGAAAGTTCCCCTGACCCAATCATCAAGACATGCTTTTCTTTCAAAAAGTACTGCCTCGCTCAAGATCCATTGACCATAAAATGGCAAACACTGAACACGTGATGATTAGGCAGTTGTCTCGGATTCACAGGTGAGTAAACCTGGTGGGAGAGAGAAGCATATACATATAGCTAATAAAAGGACCGGCTAGTGTTTGTTTAGTACTTACTTTGTGCCATGCACTCTTCTGAATGCCTTGGTCTTCCCAAATCCTTCTTGAACTACGGCTTATTCTGTTAAAGAAATCCTGGGAGATGGGGCCCCTGGGTGGCTCAGTCGTTAGGCGTCTGCCTTCGGCTCAGGTCATGATCCCGGGGTCCTGGGATTGAGCCCCGCATCGGGCTCCCTGCTCCGTGGGAGGCCTGCTTCTCCCTCTCCCACTCCCCCTGCTTGTGTTCCCTCTCTCGCTGTCTCTCTCCCTGTCAAATAAATAAATAAAATCTTAAAAAAAATAGATTAAAAAAAAAAAAGAAATCCAGGGAGAGAAGTCCTATTGGCATTATCCATAGTCTCCAATGGTGAGGGTGGTAACTGGGTTGAAGGCAACTGGGAGGGGTCTTCAGCAAACTAAGGACAATTGGGAAACTGCACAAAGGCAAATTTTGTCCACCAGGTACCAGCTCCTCCAGTTAAACCTTGGATCACCCATCCTCGCTGACCCAACAACCATGGCCACTGGTCCATTTCTTGCTGCCATTGTGCTTCTGGTAAGGCAGCACTTGTGGTGGAGTTCCAGAGATCTTCTTTCCCTCTAGCTTGAACCATTCAACAGTCAATCTGGAAAACAGGCCTTCCTAAACTATAAAGCTACCTCCCAACTGTGGAGGCCTGACTTTAATAGCTGTCAAACTCCCTTGAAGTTTCTGGTTTATTCCAGCTGGAGAATGGTGAGAACCTTTAATTGCTTGAAAGATATCAGTACCTATGGTACCCATCATTAAAGACCCCCCACAGGGCATGGTCCTCACTATACTCCTCCATCTTGACTCCAGTGGTGTGAGTGAGGCCAGGCAAGCTGGGTGGAGCTCGACCCCAGTGGCCCACAATCAGTTCTTAATTCTAGACTATAGTGTTTCTCAAACCCATCCTTTTAATAGGAAAAAAACCAAAACTAAACTAAAACTAAGGGTTATGCCCCTCCATCATTGGTTTAAAATATTATTTTTTAAAGATTTTATTTATTTATTTATTTATTTTGAGAGCGTGAGCATGGAGGGGGAGAGAGAATCTCCAGCGGACTCTGTGCTGAGTGCAGAGGCTGATGTAGGGCTCGATCCCACAACCCTGAGATCATGACCTGAGCCGAAATCGAGTCAGACACTTAACCAACTGAGCCACTGAGGCACCCCTGGACATTTTTAATAAGAATATTTTTAAACCAGGGCCCCTGGGTGGCTTAGTCAGTTAAGTGTCTGCCTTTGGCTCAGGTCATGATCTCAGAGTCCTGGGATCAAACCCTGTGTTGTGCTCCCTACTCAGTGGGGAGTCTGCTTCTCCTCCCTCTGTTCTTCCCCCATCTCCCCGCTCTTGCACATTCTGTTTCTCTTTCAAATAAATAAATAAAATCTTAAAAAAAAATTGTCCAAAGACACATAACTTAGGAAGACATCCTTTATGCTCATAGTTGTTACATAATCTTATTTTTTTTTTAAAGGTAGTTTTTTTTTTTTTTTTTAAGATTTTATTTATTGACAGAGAGAGACACAGTGAGAGAGGGAACACAAGCAGGGGCAGTGGGAGAGGGAGAAGCAGACTTCCCACCGAGCAGGGAGCCCGATGTGGGACTCGATCCCAGGACCCTGGGATCATGACCTGAGCTGAAGGCAGACGCTTAACGACTGAGCCACCCAGGCGCCCAGTTGTTACATAATCTTAAGCAAAAATAAATACACAAATGTTAAGAAGCCATATTCAATAAATGTTGAATTTAATGTTACAGATAATACTGTTTTGATGAAACTGCTTTGCCGCTTGCAGTGTGAACGTGGTATTGGCTCTTCCACACAGGCACTTGGGAATTCAGTATGCCTTTACTGTCTGTTGTGTGAGGTTCGATTTTCCCACCACTTCTTTCTCTCAGAACCACAGGGCAGTATTGGTTTGGCAAATATTGGACATAACTCGGCCCCTCTCTTTTGGCTTGAAAACATAATTTGCTTATTCAGGTATCTCTGGTCTTTTCTCATTATCTTCTCAAGTGGAGAATTGCTGCTGGTGCCCATGTGACAACACGCACCCAAACACACTTCACGGAACTGCATATGCGGTCACTGAGATTGTTCTTGGTAATGAGATGATCCAGAATCTGCTTATTGTTTCCTGTTCTCCTCAAAATGAAAGCAGAATATAAAGGCTTGGTAAAGGAGACTTGAGAAGCCCTGAGCAAATGTCCATGCCTCAGGTTGAGGGATACTTTCTCCACATAAATTGGCGTTAAGAGTGTGGAAACGATCTCTCCCCTGAATGGTGAGCTCCATGCCGACAAGCACCATGTGCTCTCGTGTGCCACATGGAGCACAGGGTTTAGCTCTGTGAGGTGCCTGGAGAATGGGTCCTGCTCCGACCAGCTGGAGTCCTCTAGCCCTCGTGTTCGGGTTGCATGTATAGGTCTGCAAGAGTCTATATTTCCTTTGATTGTGTTTTTTTGTCTTGAACTAGGAAAAAAGAAGAAAAATTGGACTGGATGTATCAGGGTCCTGGTGGGATGGTGAACCGCGATGAGTACTTGCTGGGGCGCCCCATTGACAAGTACGTTTTTGAGAAGATGGAGGAGAAGGAGGCAGGCTGTTCTTCAGAGACAGGACTACTCCCAGGCTCTATTTTTGCCCCTTCCGGTGCCAATTCCCTTCTTGATATGGCCAGCAAAATCCGGGAGGACCCACTCTTCATCATCAGGTACTGGTGGCCGGCTAGGAGGGGTTTTGTTTTGTTTTGGTTTTTTTCAGAGTTGCTTAGCTTCACAGTTGGTTTCCTCTTGGCTTTTCTCTGCCCTGTAAAAGGATTTGTCTCTATTTGGTTTCCCTGATGTTGGGAAGGAGGATCTATCAGGGGTGTCTTATCTAGGCCATGTGATAAGTGATGGCCCGTGGACCAGACTAGACCAGACCAGATTATTCATTTACCTTTGGCTCTTGAACAAAAATAGGAGTTAGAAGCAAGGTGAGAAAGGCTGGCAGCTTCTTGGAAATTTGGGACTATGTATAGCGCGGGATAGGTGGGAGAGCAGGCCTTCTACCCCCCCAACCCCTCTTTTTTTTTTGTACAGCAGAACCCTTTAAAAAGAAACGTTAGAATCTTCCTTGAAACCCTAATATGTAACATATCAAAGCAGAGTTGCATTTTGGGTGCCAACTCATACTGTGCATATTAATTTTTTTGGTTTAATTTGCAGCATTTTATTTCAAGTGTATAAGGTTGAACATTGAAAAACATTTGTCATTTATATTTCTAATTTTGAAAAAATTTTGAAGTTATTACATAGTAAAGGTATTGCATAGGTGTATGTAAAGATACTGTGTATGTATGTGCAAACATTTTCTTCCATTTTGTTAGCTTCTTAATTAGTTAAATCGTGGTAAGTAAAACAACATAAAATTTACAGTCGTAACCCTTTGTAAGTGTATAGCCCAGTGGCATTAAGTAGATTCACCCTATTGGGCAGCCATCCTCACCACCCATCTTTAGGAGTTTTTCACCTTGCAAAACTGAAACTCTTTACCCATGAAACAAGAAGTCCACCTTTCCCCCTCCCCCAGCCCCTGGGAACCACCATTCTACTTTCTGTGCCTGTGAGTTTGACTACTCTAGGAGCCTCACATAAGCTTCACATCTTTTTGTGGGACTGGCTTATTCTACTCAGCATAAGGTCTTCACAGGTTCATCTGTGTTGTAGCATATGTCAGAATTTCCTTCCCCCTTTTTTTTTTTTGAGACTTTATTTTAGAGAGCGTGCACAAGCAGGGTCAGGGACAGAGGGAGAGAGAGAACCTCAAGCAGACTCCCTGCTGAGTGGGGAGCCCAACGAGGAGCTCTATCCTGTGACCCGAGCTGAAATCAAGAGTCAGTCACTCAGCCCACTGTGCCACCCAGGCGTCCCCTCCTTCCTTTTTAAGCCTGAATAATACTCCATTGCATACATTCTATTTGTCTCTTCATCTGTCTGGACATTTGGGTTATTTTCACCTTTTGGCTATTGTGAATAATGTTGCTCTGAACATTGATGTACAAATATTATGCATATTATTTTATAAACTTTTTTTCACCGAGTTATATATAGCAAACATCTTTCTATGTCACTAACTGTGCTCCTATAATACTGTTTTTTATGTCTACATTGTGTGGATATTACATAATGTATTTATTAATACTCTCTTATTGGGCCCTAACTTGTTTCCAAATTTTCATTGTTATAATACGGACAGCTTTGTAGGGACCTTCCTGGATTATATCCTTACAGTAACAAATTCTTAGGGAAGAATTTGTAAATTTAAAGATTATGCGGGCTGTGATAAGTGTTGCCAAATTGTCTTCCATGAAGGCTGACCAGTTTACCGTCATGAGCAATAAATGAGAGTAAGACTTATTTTTTTTAGAATTTTATTTATTTATTTAACAGAGAGAGAGAGAAAGCACAAGCAGGGGGAATGGCAGGCAGAGGGAGAAGCAGGCTCCCCACTGAGCTGGGAGTCCAATGTGGGACTCGATCCCAGGTCTTGGGATCATGACCTGAGCCGAAGGCAGACGCTTAACCAACTGAGCCACCCAGGCGCCCTGACTTTTCTTTCTTTTTTAAAGATTTATTTATTTTAGAGAGATGGGGAAGGGGCAGAGGGAGAGGGAGAGAGAGAATCTCAAGCAGATTCCCCACTGAGCGCAGAGCCTGATACAAAGCTGTGTCTCATGACCCTGAGATCACAACCTAAGCCGAAATCAAGAGTCAGACGCTCAACCGACTGAGCCACCCAGTCGCCCCGAGAGTAAGACTTCTTGAAAGAGGAATCCATTCTCTTTATTTCCCAGCTGGTTTTCGTGCTAAGCGGCAACCGGTTGATACACAGGACGACACCCATTTACTTGACCAGCTGGGAAGCCCTGAGCATAAACCCTAATGAGGAACCGCCCACATGTACTCTTTTTTTTAAATTTTATTTATTTATTTGACAGAGAGAGACACAGCGAGAGAGGGAACACAAGCAGGGGGAGTGGGAGAGGGAGAAGCAGGCTACCCGCAGAGCAGGGAGCCCGATACGGGGCTCGATCCCAGGACCCCGGGATCATGACCTGAGCCGAAGGCAGACGCTTAACGACTGAGCCACCCAGGCGCCCCCACACGCACTCTTCTGTACCACAGGAAAGCAGTGTGACCTTGCCCTCCAGTATTCAGTCCCTTCTGTAGGTTTGAGGAAGAAGCCCGAAGGCTTCCACACCACCATACAGCTTTTAACACAAAGCCTGTCTGCGTGCATTTGGAAAAAAAGATTGCTGTGTAGACTTGTGGAGAGTAGAGTGAATGACTTAATCCCCTTGCCGAAAGAGGTAGTCATGATTTTTATTATTTCCTCTTTTTTTTTTTTTTAGGAAGAAGGAGGAGGAGAAAAAAAGAGAGG